CAAAGAGATAAACTGGCAATGGGAGGCGGAAAGGTGAGTGAGTGAAACATGATTAGAAATAGGATGAAGGGTGCAAGTGCGTTTACCTTTCCGCAAGGCAATGGGAAGATCAAGATCAGATACTGGGTTCGGGGCTGGTGTGGAGACAACTGTCGGATCTGTCGACGGTGATGGAGCCGGAGTAGCAGCCGGTACACGTAGGCGATGTGTATACACTTGACGGATAGGTGGGCATTCAACAGGTGGTGGCACTAGAGGCAAGGACTTGGTCACGGCTGGAACAAGGGGAACAAAATCAGCAACTGGAAGTGGAAGAGGAGAGGTGATGAGGAGTAAGAAGCATCACAGGACCCCAAGAAAAACGAAGTAGACTCAAAGAAGGTAACATCAGCACACACAAAGGAACGTCGAGAACTAGGATGGTAACACTTATACCCTTTCTGGGTCCGAGAATAGCTAAGGAAGATGCACTTAAGGGATCGTGAATCTAACTTGTCATTCCCGGGGCCCAGATTATGGACGAAGCAGACACACCCAAATACCCGAGGAGAAAGAGGAAACGAAGACAAGGTGGGAAACAAGGTAGTAAATGGGGAATGACCATCAAGGATAGGCGTGGGCATCCGATTAATCAAGAAGCAAGAAATAAGCACCGCATCACTCCAAAAGGGTTTGGGAACATTCATGTGATGCATAAGGGATCGTGTTGTTTCCAAGAGATGACGATTCTCTCTCAGCCACTCCATTTTGTTGTGGGGTGTAGGTACATGAGGTCTGATGTATAATGCCATGTTGGTCCAAGTATTCTTGAAATGATGAAGATAAATATTCACGGCCATTATCAGAATGAAAAATTTTAATGTGAACACCAAATTGATTGTGAATCTCAGCATAAAATTTCTGGAAAATGGTAAACAATTCACTTCTTCCTTTCATTAAATAGAGCCACGTCATCCTTGAAAAATCATCAACAAAAATGACAAAATATCTATGTCCATTGCATGACATCACTTTATAAGAACCCCAAACATCCGAGTGAATCAAAGAAAAAGGACTCGACACACGGTTATCAACCCTWGAACTAAAGGGAACACGATGGTGTTTCCCAAACTGACACGACTCACAATCTAAAACAGAAAGTTGACTCAACGAAGGAACCAAAGATTTCAAAACTTTCAGTGAAGGATGACCAAATCGACAGTGCCACTAGAG